TGAGGAAGATGTGTACTTTCAATGTGCATCTCTTAAACTTTTTTAATTCTATACAGTTGCACATGTTAGACAAATGACATCTAGAGGGGGTGAATAGATGCACAAATTAAAATAGATGTCAAATTAAAAATTTATTTTAAGATGTCCAATAATTTATTAATTCAATTTTAATTATTATATAAAATATAGATAAAGCGGAAACGATATAATCGAGATAGATAAAGAGAAGGAAATAAGTAGATGTTATCACAGAGGTATAAGGAAGAGAAAAACACACAGTAATTTATAATGGTTTGGGTATAGCCAACCCTACATCCAATTCCTAGTCAACTCTAATCACAAGAGTGACTCCCAATTCACTATCTTTAAAATTCAGTTTACAAATTAGAATCAACTCAGCAGATGAACAAGTAAAAATTAAACTAATTAAAAAGATAATCACCTTCTTAGAAACCCACTAAGGATGAACACCTCCCTAGAATCCCACTAGGGATGAGCACCTCCCTAAAGTCCCACTAGGGATGAACACCTCCTCTAAACAAATCAAAGAATGAAAAACACCTCATTTGCCACCAACACACAAAGGATAAACACCTCCCTAAAATCACAATAGGGATGAACATCTCCCCGAACAAATCAAAGGGATGAACAGAGAAACACACTTCTCAAGAAACAGTGCCCACAATAAAACCCTTAGTTTGTAGGCAAAGAAAATAAGAGCAACAACCTTAAAAAGGGAATTTAACAACAATCACCTAAACCCACAAAGGATGAAGGTAATAAAATAAGAATAGTCATACCTGGGTAATGGAGACAACAAATTGTAGAAGCCCGTAGAATGCCAACCTCCAAGAATAAGTGTGATTAACAATGAAAGTGCAGAAGGTAGTAGAGAAGATTATTTTCTCAAAAGGTGTAAAATATCTCTGTTACCTTGCTCAGAATTCTTTTCTTAAAATTGAATGTATGTAAAATTGTATTTTCGAATTCTTTAATTGTGTATTTTTTATTTTTCATCAAAACTCATTTAAGGAGGAAAATAATATCAGAAAATAGTCGTTGGTCATTAATACTTTCGTAGAGAAAAATTAGGATGTATTCAAAAACATTTATTCTTAAAAACTAATATATTTTTCAAATATGAACTGTCATAATCAATTTTGTTACCAGTATAATCAATTATAACAGAGAGAAAATCGTTTTCCCATTTTTGATGCATCATAATTGATTATGACGATAAAAAATGTCATATTATGAAATTTTATCACACTTATGCTTTGGAGGCTTATGCATAATACCACTTCATCAACTTGTACCTCCATATCCAGTATTTTAAGACTCTATCTAGTCTTCAGGAATTATCTTGGGCTTGCTTGAATCTTGAATGTTGTTGACTTGAATAATCATTAAAATTATCTCTTGGGAATGTAGGAACATGTTTCACATTGTCATCAATCTTTCCCTCAGTGCTTTCAGTTCTAGGGCAATCCAACAGGCCATGTAGTGCCTTAAGCTAGAACCTTCTTTTCTTGCATGAGGTTTCACATTGTCATGAATCTCTCCCTTATTGCTTTCAGCACATTCATCATTCTGAAGAAAAAAAATGATATGCATTTATTTAGGAATTCTTGCAGACACCTCAATCAACAGGTTGTATTACCATCAACCCAAACTAATAGGTGATGATTTAATTATGTATGATGCTATAAAACTATCTTTTGATATTGGTGTATCTAACATGATTACTTGGAAGTCACAATTCTCTTTAGATACTATCATTGAATTATATGTTCAATATACATAATCCATTAATGAAATAATGATGCTTTTAAACTCCCTGTTTCTACCTCTTTTGCAAACCCAAACAACATCACTTCTTCTAAAGCTATAATTTACTTGGGTGAGCTTGTTCAATGTGCAACCATCATGAAAAATCCAAATAATTTTGGTTTTACTTATACATGTTTAAACCTTGAAATAATGGTAATCTAACACACATGATCTTTTTTTGAACTATATGAAAACATTGCTTAAGTACTTACTTGTGAAGATCGCAAACAAATTAATGAAATCAACTACTGTCGTCCAATTCGAGTGTGAAACCAAAAGATCATTCACAAGGCACTACAAATAAAAACTGATGCTGATGTGACCAAAACGATCAACTGTTGGGAAACAACATAATCTCTACACCCAACCATGCAACATGAACAAATATGGGGAAATATTGAATTATTTATTCAAGTTAAGACCATACGAAAGACAATATCTGACAAAATCATTAATGATTTAGAAGATAGTATATATATTGACAAACACACAATAACAAGGTTCACATTTACCTCACGATTTAAATATGATTCTTTAATTACCATTTATCTTGTATTATTTCTAATTTAGTTGGGTTTCATATTAACATGTATTGTTTAAATTATGTACCATTAATCTATAATCTTTTAATATTTTATATAATGAATATAAATATCTATAGATAAAAAATATAAATATATAAATATATATTAATTAAATATAAAAATATATGACTATATATTTATAAAATCTATAAATATATATATATATATATATATATATATATTAAATATATAAATATATGTATTTATTAAATATCTTATTATATAGATATAAATATATATATATATATATATATATATATAAATATCTTATTATATAAATTTATATTTATTAAATTTATATAATTATTAAAACAATATTAAAATATATAAACATATATTAATCATGACTCCACATGGCACATTCTCAGGTTAAATATATCAAAATATCCTTAAGTCACATATTTTCCAAAAAAAAGTATACAATAAATATGTTTATTTGGGTAAATAAGATGGGAGATGGTCTATAATAACTCTTTTAACATTATTTTCTAAAAAAAAATCGAAAAAACTTTTATATAATATATATTAAACCATTTCAATATAATCTTATGATTTATTTGTATTTTTTAAATTTTTTACAATCAAGTTATTATTAAATAAATTATTATTTATATAATGTCTTGTATAAATTTTTTATTTATTTATTATTTTTATCAATTATTTTCTTCTACTAATTTATATTAAATAAAAATTTAAATATTATATATAAATATATTTTTATTTACTATATTTATAAAAATATAATTATATAAATATCTTTTTTATGATATATAAAAAACATATTTATATTTATTTAATGTAATTATATAAATAAATATTTAAAAAATATATATATATATATATATATATATTTATATATTTATTTTATATAAATATATTATTTATATTTAATAAATTTTTCTATTTTTAAAAAATTATTAAAGATATAAGTCAGAATTTGATTAACTGAAGACCAAATTATGACCTTTTAATCAAAAGTGTGTTATTTTTGTAAATTTTTTTCACAATATGATATATTTGCATATTTATATCTATATGTAAAAAAAAAACCACTAAGGTTTCATATAAAATATATAATTAATTGTAGATTCAAGATTTGTATCTATATCATTCTTTCTTATTTTTGTAGTGGTGTTTTTGTGTTAGACCTGAAAGTTAGTAGATTAATATAAATTTTCATTGAATTAATATAAATTTTGTAAATGATGTTCTTCTTATGTTGTGCATTTATATTTTTATTATATTACTTATTTCAATTTCATTGATGTATAGTTTATTCTATGATGTGTAATTTATTTTTGTTAAAAAAATTAATCATTCAATTTTAAATGCAATTCAATCTCCCTCTTAAACTCAATCATTATATTTAATAATTTTAAGTATTCTACATCATAATAATAAATAAACAAAAAAGTTAAAAAAAAACTTGTGTTCACTAACTAAATTAAATTATACCATTTTTTTCTTATAAGTAAGGCATTAGTTTGTATTATAAAATGATATTTTTTAAAATAAAAGTAACTATGGTTTATTCAAAATTATAGACCAAAGTTGCTTAAAATATTTTTTTATGTGATTTGTATTTACCACTTAAAAACTACAAACACTTTATCGACAAAATAGTTATTTAGCGTTTAGCGTTTACGTTTTGAGCGTGAAAAGTTTGCAGGCGCGGAAAGAGTTGGAAAAAATAGTTATTTCTAATTAAGTGGACGGAAAGCGCCAAAACATTTTTTAAAAATGCAATGAAAGATGTCCAAAGTAAAAAAAAAAAGGAAAAAAAAACTAAAATAATGTCATTGATATAATGGATATGTAATTATATAATTATATCAATTTGACTATTTATTTATTATTTTTAAAAATTATAACTTTTTTATCAATTTTTTTAAAATAAAGTGTTGTTACGAAAAAATTAAATAAGTTCAAATAAATTGATTTGAATAATTATATTTAAATTCTGTTGAATGTTAAAACCATAAAAAATAAAAATAAGAGAAATTCACCTATAAAAATATATGTTTAAGATACTTAAATAAATATAAGAATAAGAAAATAATAATAATAAAAAAATATCTTAATAAAAACCAAATTATTTATAAATAATAAAATAATAGTAAGTTTTTTTATCAAATATTTTAAATTATAATTATAATGTTCAATATTGATTATGACTTAATAATTAGATAGAATAATGATACATTATATTGATATAAAAAATGTGTTTTCTCCCTTATTTTATATAATTTTTTTTTTATACATTCTCTTCCTTTGTGACGGAACAATCTTATTTTCCATCGTCAATCCAAACAAAAAATTATGATAAAATAAGTTAATAAATGGGTTGACCAAGATTAAAGCATCGCACTTATTATAGTTAATTACAATTATGAAATCACACATAACTTTTTAATTTTGTAGAAAAGCAAATTCAAAAAAGTTGCCCGTTACCAAAGTGCATATTCCCTCCCTCCGGTTTCCCCTGCACCATCCACAAACCCTAGGGTTTCTCTCACTCCCTTCAAATTCCCTTCCTTCCCTTTGCCCTCACTCTTCCCCTTCACACCTTACGATTCCCCCAAAATCATGAACCCTAATCCTAACCCTTATGAGCCCATGCTCAAGGAATCCATCAACCGCTTCTTCGCCGAACACCGCAGAGGCGTCACCAACTTCTCCGACTTCACCACCATCTTCTCTCGCGTCGTCCACGCCACCGCCGACCCTCCCATCCCAATCCTCTGGTTCTACGCTGCCCTCGAATTTCGCGCCGCGCGCCAACCTTCTAAAAGCGCCAGGGACCTCTTTCAGTTGCTCGTCTCCTGTTCCGGTGCGATCGAGTCCACGAAGAGGATCGCTGCGCTCGCGCCGTTAGTCTTTGTCTTACACCGTTTGGCGCTTCGGCGGGGGGAGTTTTGGAGCGAGGTGGAGGGGCTGGTGGAAGGGGTTATCAGCTACTGCAGCATTTTCTGCGGGAAGGACGTTTGCGACGGTGACGTGGCGGTTTTGGAGTTCGGGGATTTAATCAAGGTGTGGATGGTGGATGATGATGGTGGTGGTGGGGTTTTTGGGGATTGCGCTATGGAAGGGTTTTTCCCACTTGTTAGTGAAGAATTTCGGAAGGGGATTGTGACGGGTTGCGATGTTGGGGTCTTGGCGGGGGTGGTTATGTGCGAAGCGCTTTTGTTGAAGCTGTGTTTGGCGTTCGAGAAAGGGATTAGCAGAGTGGAGCTAGAGAAGGATTTGCTCGCCTCCGCGGTTCAGACCATGACAGGGTTTAGGAGTTTTCGCTTTTTGGGTAAGATCTTGTTTCCTCAATTGGACTATTTTTGCATTAAGTTATATTTTTAAAATTACAGTTTAATTTCTATGTTCTTTTGGGATAAAAAGTTATGTTAGATTATATATATTTATAGAAATCCTCTGTATTGCTTTTATTTTTGAGTGATTTTTAATTAATATTTGAGCTAATAATTTTTTAGCTAGAAATTTGTTCTAAATTTTTTGAAGGGATATTTATCTAAATATAATCATTTTATAGTGTAATTCTTGTAAGGTGCTGGCCATTAAAAAATTATGGTAGGCATAACTTTTAACGTAATTATAATAAATTCATCGTTTAGGAAATTCATCAAATTTATTATGCACCATGATTTGTGATAGAAATCTTTTTGGGCTTTATTTTCATGTATTATGTATTATGACTGCAAATATTTTTATACTCTTGATCAACCATATATGATCTGTTAAGTTACATAAAGTCTGAGTAGCTAACGTATATTTAAATCATATCAAATAAGATAAGTAAGCGATGCAAAACTTTAATCGCCTCAATGAAACATGTGGGACCCAAAGGTACTTTTGACCAAAAGATAATTTTGCATACAATACGAGAACTAACATATATTTAAATCATCAAATGACAGAAAGATCACGTGTAACTTTCAACAATACACCATTCTTATAATGTATTTGTATTGCATGTATACTCTAATTGAATCTGTTTGTAGAATAAGATTCAATTTCTCAAATAGGTCACTTTTGCTTTTAGATTTTAGAATTATTTCAATATTATTTTAAGTTTTAAAGTTGTCACATAAGAGTCGTTTTCGAATTTTATAGAAATATGGGGTTATTCTAAAGATGAAAATGATTCTCAACAAAGATGAACTGATGGTTTGTTATGTTATTCAATTATTAAAATGTATTTTTTATTTTCTCTATTTAAGTTTTTTTTTTTAAAACATGTGTTTATTTAATTATTTGAAATTGGTGAGTTGTGAGAAAATAAAACTGTTTAAATTCATGTATTAAATATTATATTTTTCATAATTTTATTTCTTAGTGTTTTGTTGGCACTCCTTATCACGACTTGCAAACTAGGATAAAATATCTTTTCGATTTATATAAATATGGTTTTATTTTATTTCAGCCATTTATAAAGTTATTGTTTTTCTTTGGTTTTTACAAGTTAGAATATTTTTAAATCAATCCTTATCACTAGATAGTCATATTATGTGGCATCTATGTAGTCATCTTACATCATTTTATAATAATTGATGTGATATGATTGCATATATAAAAATTTTGTATTATGCGGTGACAAAGATTTAATAAAAAAAATTAGGAAAACCAAAATTAATGGATTTGTTAAAAAAACTAAAACCAAACGAAACCATTTTTATTAGAATTAGTATTTAATCCAATAAAAATCTGATGGATGTGAGGGTTTCCTTTGTTGTGCAAACAGACTCTTGAACATAATCTAGTATGAAAGTAAAATATTTATTATAAGAAAATTACCCTTTGTAATGAGATAACACTTTTCATTTTTAGTATTACATTTCTCACCAAATGAAGCTGAATTTATTGAGACTAGTCTGTAAAAATGTAGAAGGCGTTGGATTCATTTTTGTTCATCCATACTCTTGAATATTTTTATGTTTGAAAAGTAGAAGTATTTTTGTTGGACTAATTGCACTTAAACTCTAGTTAACGAAATTTTACCTTATGCCTCTCTCTCTTTTTGACATGACATTTACATTCTCACATCATATGATAGCATTAAAGTCATAGGAGAATGTGTCAAGAGGAAGGACACACTGCTATGTTATTCTATAAATTAAGGTTAATATGTACATGGTAAAAAAACATGGAGATGTTGAGTCTAATTTCTGTTTGGATGAACTTTATAGAAGTCTTTATAAAAACAGAAAAAATAATTTTTTTTTTCGCGAAGTAAAATTAGCTTGTTCATGCACAAGTTAAAATAGAAAATTAAAAACAGGAAAAATAAATTTTACTTTTTCGCCAAGTAAAATTAGCTTGTTTATGTACAAGATAAAATAGAAAATTAAGAAAGTTATTTAAGACAATTTTATAAATTAATTTAGTTTATGAAGAAATTAATTTAACTTTTTCTTTCTTAAAAAAAACTTATGGAGAAGTCCTTAAAAATAAACCTATTATATTTTATTCTACAAAAACTTGGAATATTTTTATTCACGTAATAAAATATTAAGAAATACTTAATAAAAATATTAATGTCATGCCCATTTTATAAATATATTTTTATTTTCTGCACTTTTTTTTTGTTTCATAATCTTTCCTCGAAAATGTCTTAATATAATCATGTTCTTTACTTTGGAGTTTAAGTGTTGTTTCTTCAGCATTTTAGGAAGCTGGATCTTGATGAAACGCAGTTATGCTTGTTTATAGTTTTCTTCTGTTACCAAACTAATTAGCTAGTTCAAGTGTTTGTTAATTTTCTTAGTTCGATCTCTCTTTTACCCTTATTTGTTTATTTCTCAGCTTGACATTGGTCCAATCCTTGTGCTTTCTGGGGTGACCTCATTACAGTTTTCATGTTTGTTCTTCCTGATTGCTGATTGGTCTCCATTCAGATACCCTTTTCAGGATGATGTTGGAGCCAGTTTTGCCAGTGACCTCTTTACTGGTCAGTACCATTTTATCTTTTGCTTTAATTTTTCCTTGATCATAATTGGAATTAAGGGCTTTAGTCTGAGCACCTTTTTCTCTAGAAAACTTTGTTGGATCTCAAAACTAAAAAGACTAACTTCAAATAACTACAAGCCCACTTAGCCCGCATGACATATGTTTAATGGAGAATAGTCATGTTTTGACGTCACTGCCATCTTTAGAGGTTACTCAGGTTAGCATGCAAAAGATCTATAGGGTACTTTTATTGGTATGCAAGACATTTTTTAATGATAAAATTTGATTCTTTATATGATAATGTAAGACCATGAGTTGAAGTATTGATTATTGTTGGAAAACTATGAGTTACATTTTGGAAATTTAAAACTCAACCTTACTAGTAAAATGATTTACATAACCAATTATTCATGAATGGTTCACTAGTTGTGATTTTCATTATACTGTCTTTGAAAAGGGTTACTACTTGGTTAGCTACATATTATTCTTTGTCATAATCTTCACGGTCATTGAATCCAATACCGGGCACCCTTCTTCCGATGGTAATTTCAGCTCTTGGTTCTATTGAAATGACTTTATTCCCTTTATTTTCATTAACTGTGTGATGTATTACATGTTTGTAATTTGTACTATTCTATTCAACGACTGACTGCTTGTTTTACTGTAGGCTTCTGAAAATCAAGTCCTTTTAAAAGAAGTCCTGTACAATTCTGTGATGATGATAGACTATTCATTCATTAATCCTCAGGGAGAACTTTCACTGTATGCCAATAGCTTGAAAGATGTTGCTATAACTTGGTTGTTTGTTGCCGAGTTAGCTGTGCAGTCTGCTAGGTATAGAAAAGACTACTGTGACTGATGGATGAAAGGGGTTTCTGAAATGTTTCACCTGACAAGTCTCGTTATCTGGTTTGATCACAGGGAAAAAGGTCATCAGGGGAAAGCTATGTCTTACATAAATGCATTCTGTGGATCCTGCATACCCGTTCAATTGATTAACTGGGTTACTAGTCAAGATTGCTTAGGCAGGAAGATCAGCAGACCAAATGTTTCTACTCCCATTGCTCTTTTAAGTGAGTTCCTCCGATTTTTTTTGCAATTATTATCCTTTTTTTTTGCCTCTTCGTACCATGATGAGAGTGTTATATTTTTAAGAAGTTCAGCAAACTGAACATTTGAATACGACTGCATTCAATTTCTAATTTTATTTAGTACGATTTGGTTCCGTGTCAGATGAAGTCCAATGTAGATCTGTAATCTACATCCAAGTAGTTTCCATTCTTTATATCCAAAATGTGGATCCAAGGCTACAAAATGTTAAACCAAACATGTACTCAGTGTCACTGGTGATTGAATTCAGATTGTTGATAACTGAAACAACTACCCATTTATGTATTCTCTTTGGTTTTCTTTGTGAGATTTCTCTTTTTGCTTCTTCTTGTATCTAATCGTGATTTCATGTTCAGAGTGGCTTCTAGTTGTTGAGGAACAAGGAATTGCAGTATTTGCTGGCGAAACTGCCAAGCAGATAGACGTTATGTTCAAAGCCAACTTTTTCACTACAAGAACCGAGTGCTTACTTCCAGTGATCAAGCATTTCTTCAACAATCTGGATAAGAATCTCTTTTTTAATTCCACGAATGGAGAAGCTGGGGCAGATACACTTGATGGTGACATAGACATGCTTGATACTGTGGACAGTGTAAGTTTGGCTGCTGCTGATAGTCTGAGCACAGTTATTGATGGGACAAGAAAACGTAAAGAAGGGATCGACGATGATTCCAAAACACCGCTAAAATATATGAGATGTCACATTCATGAGAATTCAGTCAGAGAAAACCCCTTTACATTCAAGCAACAATGATGCTTGGATGTTGGGAGCATTGGATATATTGGTCTAACTAACCTCCATAAGAAAAGGAGTAATATATGGTAGTAGATGAAACTGTCTGTAGTCAGACACTGGGCTAATAATTTTTTATCACAATCCTTATTTGTCACTTTTGGTGCTAGGAATTTGTAAACATTGGGCCCAAACTTCTGCAATATATATATAATTTGGAAATTACATCAGTCCTAGTTTTCAATTTTGTTTTAGTTCAATATCTAATTGCATAGGTCCAAGGCTGGCTAGATCTGATTTCAAATAACTACCATGTTTACTTGTTTATAGCTTTTAATATTGTCTTGATTCTTCTAAATTCTATTGATAAAAATTGAATTAAATATACTAGTGAAAATTTAATTTTAATGAATAATATTTTTTTATTTAAATTCATATCAGTATGGGTGGAAACGGAGTTTTTTACCTGATGCAATTTTAAGCATAATACTACTAAATTCGTATCAACTTTTGAAAATTTATAGAAATGGATAAGTTGTGATATTACGATTCAGTGTCTAAGAAAGTTGTGGTACATGAATTATGTTTGATATGTTTTTTTTTTTCATGTCCAATTCGTGTAATCTAGCACCGCGCTGACATTGGATTTTTTTTTTTTAAATAATCGTGTTACATGACTTTATTATTATTTTTAATTTATGTTTTGTTTTTTTTCAGTTATTTTATATTTTAATTTAACTATAAAATAATATTATATATAATATTTATTTATTTATTTATCATACTTTGAGATTTAAAATTGATAAGTAAAAAATTTAAAAATATGAGAAGTTAATAAAATGATATATATATATATATATATATATATATATATATATTAATAGAAATAATTATGTCATGTAAAATAATGTATAATACAAAGGTAACAAAAAATAATTTAGTGTTGATAGTTTGTTCTATAAGGTGATCTTTTTCTATTTTGTCTAGGTCTTTCGTTTTATTGTGTTTTTTATTACTATTATCATATTTATCTTGTTGAGTTGAATTATAAAATATAAACATTGTTGGCCGATGAAATTCATGGTTTCAATTTGATGATATATTGAAGGTGGTGTCATATAAAAGGTGACAAAAATGTTTGATCCCAAAGACATTATATTGAATATGTAAGGAATATGGCCTCCAAAATGACTTTTTCTAACAGATTTTGAAGATGATCAACATAACCATAGAATGAAATAGTCTAAAAACTAACTTGACCAACTTATTAATAAGTTGATGACTAGACGATTATAACTAAATGGACCAACATGCTCAGCATATTATTATTAATTAGATGGATTAACATATGAATAAGTTGGTTGATGTCTTTGATATTTTTGTTCATCCTATTGTGTATCATACTAATGAAAAAAATATAAAATTAATATTTGTAAGTAAATATAATTGTGACCATTACAACATGTAAAAGTAAAATAAATAAATAAATAAAATAAAATATACTTTTTATAAACTAAATTAGTTTATATATAAATTAAAAATAATTTAAAAAAAGATATATAAAGAATTGCTTTACCAATAAGTTAATTTTAATTAATAAAAAACTTAATTTCGATTTTTCTTATTATTTTTCTTTATTAAAAATATTATTTAGACATACTATAATTGTTAGAGTACGAATATACATGTTACAGTATGACCAACAAAATTTGTTTGTCTCATCGCGTTCGCATAACTTAATTCGGGTTTGAAGATAAGTTTAAGTTACACATTATATAAGAATAAGGAAGTTGAGCAACATATAAGAAAGAAAGACCCATAACCCAATGCCTTAAGGTTTTGAGTTGAAGGTGATGTTAATCCCTTATCTGTGTTGAACTCATGTCTCATTGGCATTTTCTCTCTCCAGTAAATCTCCCTTATGTGGGTTGAACTTATGTGAGTTGAAAGTAACAATGATAAGGTAAGCGTGTCCTGTTATGATGAATGACGGTACTAGCAAACTTTTAAGAGTGATCATTGTATTAAAAGGGATGTACAAATGTGAGAGACTCATACTTGAAGGAAAGATTGTTGAAAAATTCAAGTATGAATCTAAATCTCACGTTGTGGAGGAATGAGGAAGTTCAGCGACATCTAAGAAAAAAACATAACACAATGGGTCTTAAGATTTTGGGTTGAAAGTTATATCAATCCTTTATATGAGTTGGATTCATATTTTTGCTAGATTTAACAATCAAGTTGAGATTGACTTTGATAACCTTTATTAACTCATAAAATACCTAACTCAACCTTATAAAATCGATTATTTCTTAACAATTTTAAGATGGTAAATGAATCAACTCTAATGATATTGAGATATTATTTGTTAATAATTGTGAACTAAACCACTTGTTATTGGATCACTTATCCTCGATATGAGAGAAATATGATGAAAAAAATCATTATCATATTGCTTAATATGAGAGGGTGTGTTGTAAAATCTCGTATTTACTATAAATTTGATAACATTATAATATATATACGAGTATATATATCATTCTTGATAAGTAATGCTTGAAAAAGACCCAAATGGTATGTATAACAAAATAGAAAATAGACACATTTTACATGTTAAAGGTCTCCTCTCTCTCAATTTGCACACAAGCACCACCAAACAACCTTTTTCCCACTAAGAATGGTTGCAAGTACACTAGATTTTATCTACGTAAATCAAGAATAAATAAGATTTTATTATATTTTAAATATTATAATATATAAATATATATTATATAAATAAATAATAATATAATTGTTTTTATCAAATATATATTATAAATAAATAAACAGATATATTATATATATATATATATATATATATATATATATATATATATATAATTTTTTATTTCAGTTTGTACGATAAATTTTTAAATTTTAAATAGATAAATTTATACTATTCAAACTTATTTTCATTAGATTTTATCCTATTCCAATAAATTCATATGAAACCTATTACATTCTATATAATTTTCATATATTTATATCTTTTAAAATATTTATGTTACATATAATTTAATTTTATATTTTTGCCTCTCAAATCAAATTCTAAATATCAATAAATTATATTTTCATATTAAAACTTATATTTATTTTCGTTCTTTATTGATAAATAAACTTTTTAATGTTTTTTTTTATAATTTAAGATTTTATATATGTATATGATCTTGTTAAAAAAATTTAAATCTATCATCATATATCTATTATATTTTTATTTCATATATTTATATTTATAAATACAACACTTATGTAAAATTAATAGTCAAAATAATATTATTTGAAAATTCTTTTTTTTTTCCTCTTAGTTCTTTCTTATGACCTTTACATCTCTTCTGAATTCGGGAAACCATCATTCCTGGACTGAGTTTGTTAAGTATTTTTCAGTAAAAAAAGAAAAAGAAGAAGGAACAAGATATTCATCAATAAAATTAATTAAATAATGGGTGTTTTGTGATCTAACTAGATATGTATACAAAGTAATAGATTATCTTCAAAAGTAATTAATTATTTCAGTTTTTATTTATAGTTTTTTTTTTCTATTTTCTATGAAAATTTATAGTAGAACCATGTGGGGCAACGTGATTCCTTCCTTTGTCTCTATCGTTGTGTATTGTTATGTTATTGGGTTAATTATCTTCATTTTGCTAAAGTCTCATCCATACATTGTAAATGATTTTGGTGTTTTTTTTTTACCATAATTATTCTCAACATAGTCCGGAATCTTGAGTAATGTCATGTAGTTATAATTGTATAAATGCTATGAAGATTAAAGAAAAATGTAATATTATTTTATTTTTTCAAAATTTTACAAAGTATAATTTATTACTAACTTGAGCATCAAAATATCCTTTTAAGTATTATAACTTATAGTCCGCACGATCCATAAATCGATTACCCCAACATCCAAGTAATCTACCAAAGAGATTATGCACTGACAAATCTAAAGGGAAGATTAATATTCGACTTTACCTGAACATTCTTCTTTTAGCTAATATCAAAACTACAAAGGTACGTATCTCTTCCTTTTTTTCTTAGTCATTGTTTCAGGTAGCTAATATTTTTGTTATCATGATTGCTATTATGGTATTATAATGTAGTGTACAGTACCTAAATGTTCTTTTTATTATTATTATTATTATTATTATTATTTTCTTTGACAATATGATATATGCATACATACCTATAATGTCAATAAAATTTTTATTTTCTTTATTTAAACTTTAGAGTCTATTTTAAATTTGTTTGAAGTTGAAATGATACAGTTTTTTTCTTTTATTGTGACAAAATAACTCTTGGTAGTTCAATTTGTTAAATATAATTAGTAACACATCCTTTAGGTTGTCATCTTATATATTGCATTTTTATCAGGTTAACAACTTTACAAATATAATATAGTTTTATAAATAAGATCTTTGTTAATATTTTAAAATAGATATATAATTTACAATATTTTTTATATTAAACATGTTCAATTTCTAACAGAATTTATATAACAATAAATTATTTATAATTATTGTTTTATAACAATAAATTATTTGTTATTATATATTTATAAGTATTAATTTAATTAGAAAAATATGTTATAAATGTATATTTCATAGTTTAAATATTTTAATGAATTGAAAATCAGAATAATAATTTGTAATTAAATCATATTTATATGAAAATTCTTAATTGGATAACACATTATTATTGACTAATTCTTTTAAGTTGTATAATATTGTTCATCATCTTTCTTCATAATTTAACATGTATCAATCTAAGTTATAGTTGTAGTACCTTTTCTTTCTTTATGGGTTTTTATTTTTTTCGAGTCCAAAGTATGATCTTGGATTATTTTTCCTAGTTCAAAGTATCATATTTTTCCTAGTTTAGATTATCTTTTGTTTTTTTTTTATCCTAGACCCATGTTTATTGAAAATTATGATATCTTACCTATATGCTTTACTAACACAAATTACTCAATGTAAGAATTTTAATTT